ATGGATGAACTATCTCAAAGCCGCTTGATGATTCAAGGCTTCAATCAAGGGGGGCAAAGGGCGATTGGAATGATACGTCTTGACTTGACCATCGGCGGGCTGAAGGCAAGCACTTTATGCCATGTCATTGATGCAAAGGCTTCATACAATCTCCTTTTGGGCCGCCCATGGATCCATGAGAATGGTGTAATCCCTTCAACGTGGCATCAATGCTTCATGTATGAGGAAAATGGCGTTGTAAAGAAGGTAGTAGCCGATGAAACTCCATTCACAGAAGCCGAGACATACTTTGCAGACGCAAAGTTTTATCTAAAGGCCAAAGTTTTTAAAGATGACGATGCAAGAAGAGAAGAAGAAGAGTATCGCCCCTTGGCTGAACCAAAGTTGAAAGGGAAGCTCGTTGAAGGCGTAGAAGGGCTTGTATTCCCTCTTGCAAAGATTGAAATATCAAGGCCCCCTCGAAACACATCTAAGGATGAAGTGAAACACGAGAATGATGTTAAGACATTTCAGCTCCCTAAGGCACGCACAAATGAAGGATTTGACCCAAACGCGTACAAACTTCTAGCCAAGGCTGGGTATAATCCCGATGAACAGATTTTGGGAAAACTCATTCCAGAAGCTGGTGGTGAAGGGAAACCGAGGCAGATCAATCTTCGAGGGCACACAGGATTGGGTTATGTTCAGCCGAAACCCATAAGGATCCTCATAAATAGAGCCGCAACGCATCATATCAGTGCTGGTGAAGAAGATGAAGTGACTTCTAAACCGAAGTATTCTGTCTTTGATCGGATTGGGGGGGCAAGATCAAGGCCCGCCATATTTGACAGAATAGGGCCAAAGCCAAAGAAGATCACGAAGAAGAATTTAGAAGAAAGGCTTTGAATGATCTCGATGATCGTAAAGGACGTTGAAGATCCATGTAGTGGGCAAAACTTTGCACGGAAACCAGTACATGAAAGGTTGGGGAAAATTCGCTCATGTAAGAGGTCTTTCAACAAATATGCAAAGGCACAAGCTTTGAATGAATGCAGAAGCTTGATTCCGTCAAGAATGAGACGAGAAACTGATGTAAAAGTTTCGTGTGGAGAAACTCTCAAAGCACAACTAAAAACCATAGTTCACACTCAAATGCTTCAAAACAATGAGTTGATATTTGATGAACTGGCCGATGACGAGGAATACATTGCCTCATCTTACCATGTTACTTTTGAAGACGAAATTCCAGTCGAAGGTGAAGATGCTGATGAAGCTCCTCCTGAGTTTGAAGAAGGAGTGCGAACCGCCTTGGATGAATTACAAGAAGTAAATCTTGACACCGAGGAAGATCCTCGCCCCATTTATATCAGTGCTCTTCTCTCGAGTGAAGAAAAGCAAGAGTATGTAGCCTTACTTCAAGAGTACAAGGATGTCTTTGCATGGACTTACAAAGAAATGCCGGGATTAGACCCAAAGGTCGCTGTTCATCACTTAGCGATAAAGAAAGGATGTCGACCAGTAAAACAGGCTCAAAGGCGCTTCCGCCCAGATTTAATCCCATTAATCGAGGCAGAGGTAGATAAACTTATTGATGCTAGGTTCATCCGAGAAGTAAAATATCCTACTTGGATAGCCAACATTGTCCCGGTCAGAAAGAAAAATGGACAAATCCGAATATGTGTTGATTTTCGGGATCTTAACCTTGCTTGCCCAAAAGATGACTTTCCACTTCCTATCATTGAATTAATGATAGATGCTGTGACGCATGAAATTATGTCATTTATGGATGGTTTTTCCGGTTATAATCAGATCCGTATGGCTCCCGCGGACGAAGAATTGACGGCGTTCCGAACTCCTAAGGGAATCTATTGTTACACGGTCATGCCGTTTGGACTTAGGAATGCTGGAGCTACTTATCAACGAGCTATGCAGGTAATATTTGATGATATTCTTCACAAAATCGTGGAGTGCTATGTTGATGATCTCGTGGTGAAGTCAAAGGCCCGAAATGAGCATCTACCACACTTAAGAGTAGTGTTTGATCGCCTGAGAAAGTTTGGTCTCAAAATGAACCCTCTGAAGTGTGCTTTTGGAGTTTCAGCTGGGAAATTCTTGGGATTTATTGTCCGCCACAAAGGCATTGAGATAGAACAAGCCAAGATTGATGCTATTGTAAATATGCCCGAGGCTCGAAATATTCATGAGTTGAAGAGTTTGCAAGGGAAGCTGGCTTACATACGAAGGTTCATTTCAAATTTATCTGGAAGATGTCAACCATTTGGTCGAATAATGAAGAAAGGCGTGCCTTTCATATGGGACCAAGCGTGTCAAAATGCATTTGATAACATTAAGGCTTATTTGATGAAGCCACCGGTTCTAAATGCTCCTGTCTCCGGTCGCCCTTTAATACTTTACATAGCGGCTCAAGAAAGATCTGTGGGAGCTCTTTTAGCTCAAGAAAATGATAAAGGGAAGGAGAATGCCCTTTATTATTTAAGCAGAATGATGACTCCACATGAATTGAAGTACTTTCCCATTGAGAAGTTATGTTTAGCCCTCATATTTGCAATCAAAAAGCTTAAACACTACTTTGAAGCTCACACGATACATCTTGTCTCTAGGGCGAATCCACTGAAGTATGTGATGTCTAAAGTGGTCCTATCTGATCGCCTTGCCAGATGGTATTTGATATTTCAACAGTTTGAGATTGTCTATGTCTCACAAAAGTCTGTAAAAGGACAAGCTTTAGCAGATTTCCTAGCCGATCACCCTATCCCTGCTGAGTGGGAACTTTCCGATGATCTACCCGATGAAGATGTGCTTATAATTGAAGTTTTGCCTCCTTGGAAGATGTATTTTGATGGTGCTGCACATAGAGAAGGAGCCGGAGCTGGTGTTGTCTTTGTTACACCCGAAGGTCAAGTTCTGTCCTATGCTTTCACGCTTATGGAACAATGCTCCAATAACGTCGCTGAGTATCAAGCACTCATCCTCGGACTTGAAATAGCTGTAGACATGAAGCAGACACGAGTTAATATCTATGGCGATTCAAAACTAATCATCAATCAAGTGCTTGGAATCTATGAAGTCAGAAAGCCTGAAGTACATCCTTACAACAAATACGCAAGGGCACTCATTGGATGGCTTGGTGAAGTTACAATTGAACACGTGCCAAGAAAAGAAAACAAGCAAGCTGATGCACTAGCAGGGTTAGCATCAAACATGGCACATCTTGACGATGAAACTCAAGTACGGGTATGTCAAAAATGGGTAATTCCTCCTTTCATCGGAGAAGATGGTGCAGCCGAAGAGATAATCGAGATGCCAACTACATCGGTTTATGATATTGAAAATGAAGATTGGAGACAGCCACTCATTGATTATCTTACTGATGGGAAGTTACCTGAAAATCCCCGCAAGAAAGTAGACCTAAAGAGGCGTTCACCACGTTTCATCTACTATAAGGATACACTTTATCGAAGATCTTTTGATGGTGTATTCCTTAGATGTTTGGGTGGAGATGAAGTCCTACAAGCAATGGAAGAGGCACATTCCGGAGTATGTGGAGCTCATCAGTCTGGTCCTAAATTGCACTTTCACATCAAGAGGATGGGATATTACTGGCCGACTATGGTGAAGGATTGCATGGATTATGCTCGGCGATGTCAAGCATGCCAATATCACGCAAATTTTATCCATCAAGCACCAGAACCATTACATCCGACAGTAGCATCATGGCCGTTTGATGCTTGGGGACTTGATGTAGTTGGACCAATCACGCCTAGCTCATCAGGAGGGCATTCATACATACTGGCCGCTACTGATTATTTCTCAAAATGGGCTGAAGCAGTTGCATTAAAAGAGGTAAAGAAGGAAAATGTTGCTGATTTCATCCGAGTCCACATTATTTACCGCTTTGGCATTCCCCGATATATCTTGACAGACAATGGAAAACCTTTTGACAACAAGTTGATGGACAAGATATGCAAGTTGTTCGACTTCAAGCAACGAAAGTCCTCTATGTACTATGCTGCCGCCAACGGCCTCGCTGAAGCTTTCAATAAGACTCTCTGCAACCTGTTAAAGAAAGTAGTGTCAAGATCGAAGAAAGATTGGCACGAAAGAATGGAAGAAGCACTATGGGCATACAGAACGACTTATCGAACACCTACCCAAAGTACTCCATATTCTTTGGTGTGTGGTACCGAAGCAGTTCTTCCCCTTGAGCGCCAAATACCATCTTTGAGGTTAGCTATTCAAGATGGGCTCACTGATGAAGAAAACGTCAAGTTGCGGTTGACAGAACTCGAGGCACTTGATGAAAAGAGGTTAGAAGCTCAGCAGAACCTAGAATGCTATCAAGCACGTTTGTCAAGATCTTTTAACAAGAGAGTTAGAGTTCGTTCTTTCCAAGTTGGTGATAAAGTTCTAGCTGTGCGAAGACCCATCATTATTACAAGGAAAACTGGACACAAGTTCTCGCCTAAATGGGATGGTCCTTATGTTGTTCAAGAAGTATATTCAGGCGGTGCCTACAAGTTGGTCGACGCAGACGGCTCAAAGATTGGCCCGATCAATGGGAGATTCCTAAAGCTCTACTACCCTTGATATTTGGGGTATGCATATGGCCATAAGAAATGTTGAATGGCTTACACCACCAATGATGTTGTAAGTGGCTAAACTGCTAAAACATCTCACTTTGTCTATGGGTGAGCATAATCACAGATACTCTTGGCCCACGAGAGTTTAAAACGTGTACGGCAAGCTCCTGGCCCGCATGAGTTAAAACTGTGTACGGCACCCCACCCACTTAGATTACCAATTCAAATGGTACCTATGAACTACGTTTGACTTGATCTCCTTTATAGGAGTACGTAGGCAGCTCAAAAGTTTCATTTTTGAGTTCAGTTATAACAACACAAACCCAATAAAGTTTGATCTTGGATATAAAAAAAAAAAAGTAAGGCGATGTCTATTCATGTGAAGCAAGAAAGCAATCAAATATATATTCATATAAAGTTTGATGGAAAGAAAAGAAGGAAAGAGCTAGCTGACTAAAAGCTAATCTATAAACAAGTAAAAACAAACTCAGCCTAAAAACAATTTAAAGCTGACTAAGTCATCCTTCAAAGCCTCTAGCTCCTTCTTCTGGGTACTTAAAGCAAGTTGATCTTCGTCTGATGCTTTGATAGTCTTCAAGATCCGTGAAGATTCCTCCTTGGCCTTCGTAAGAGCTGCATCCAAGTCACTAGCCTCTGCATGACTCTGGGAAATCAAAATTTCTACTTCCTTAGCTTCAGCTTCCAATAAGGCTATCTTCTTCTTGATTTCATTAAGAGATTTCTCATCATCAAGTAATGCGACTTGATTTTGAGATCTCTTAGCTTCAATATCTGCACAAAAAGCTTGTGACATAGCCAATTCCCGAGACTGCTTCTCCGTAGGGACCCTGTCAGCAATAGTCGAGCACTTTTGATCAAATACTTGTGCTCTTTCAAAAAAATTCTCCACTCTTGTCTTCAACACGGAAAGGTCAATACCGTCCTTCTCCATCAGGATAACACAACTTTGAACATCCTCTCGAAGAGAAGAGACGTTCTCTGTTGTAGCCTTTTCTAACTTCTTTTGAATACCGCCCCAAGTTTCAATGAGGAACCGCTTATACAAAGTAAAGAAGTAGTTCTCTCCTTGAAAAACGGATACATCCGATTTCGCATGAGGGGATTTCGGTATCTCGTCGAGTGGAACTTCTTTGCAATTACTCGGGGCACCTTTTGCCATCAACCCCGCAACGGTGTCATGATCATCGGTTTCTCCTCCACTTGAGCTAGATGAAGAAACATGATTTGAAGAACTAGCATCATCAAGGATTGGATGAATCTGCAAAAGAAGGAAGAAAATATAAGTCCAGGCTTGAGGTTAAATTAGATTATTAAATAATGAAACTAACCCTTAGTGGCCCAAGATGAGGTTTTCTCTGAAGATGCTTCCAATTCCTATCATCATTACTCTGCTTCTCAAGGACTTGATTCTCATTCGCCTTGGCAGGAAGTGTCTCTTTCTCAGCATCCTTGATCAAAACTTCAGCCCTAGGTGCTGCAAGCTTAGCCTTTTTCTGAGGCAAAGACTTAGCTTCAGTATCGGGTACCTCTTTCTTCTTCTTGGAGGCTGGAGCTACGAGATCCGGAGAGATGACCACATCGCCAATTTCAAAATCACAAATCCTAATCAAGTCACCCACGCGATTCTCGAGGTAGCTACCATGAACTTGGCTCCACCATTCTTTATACTCCAAGGAATAATACTTCGCGGGAATAGTCGGAGGAGTCGGAAATACCGCTTCAGCCCGTGACATGCCATGCTCAAACTGCTGCCAAAACCGAAATCCAGCAACAAGAGAAACACGACGCTCATGCTTCTCAAGCAAACCAGGTGCCTTAGCTTGGAAGTACCCAAACTGTCGACTAAAGCGATGAGGAGTGTAAGGCTCGGCGATGCAATGATTTTGATAGCGTAATACAAGAAAATTAGATCGAAGACATCTAAAGAATGTTAAGTCAGTCTCGGAAGGATTCTCGCCATCAAAGAAAACGTGGTCCCTAATTCTCCGATGAGTAGAACACATCCATGAAGACACATCTCCCTGGAAAATTCTCCTACGCGCTCCTCTTTTATAAAGGGACCTTGCTCCGCCCTCTCCCGAATAAGAGATCATCAATGGGGTCGTAGACTGAATATCGTTCTTGAAATGAGTGTCAAAGTATGAGGCCAACCATCCATAAACATAGTGAACAGGAAAGCACGTTCTAACTTGGTCAGGAGAGGGAGCATTTGAAATTTGATTAAGTCCATGATAGATACTGGCAAGAACTGGAACAGCAAGACATATTTTCCTCCCGCAAGCCATCATAAAAGCAACTTTAAAAATTTCTGGACGTATGACCCTTGGACCTTCATGTGGCAACACAAATGCACATAGCCAACATGATAGGAATGCTGCTAAATAGATCTCTTCCTCATATTCGGCAGGAACCTTGAGTATTTGGAACGGTACCTTCATAGAATTTGTCCATCCACCAAATTTTGGAATTGATCCACTCGGGTTGTGAGTTGCCTTTGCACGAGCTGTTCTCTTCTTTTCCATTCTCGATGGAGGCATGGTATACTTAGAGGCTTTCTTAAACCAGAATTTGACCCATACATGAACACGTAGCAAACGTTTGTCTCCCGTCTTTGGAAAAAGGTGATGGTACGCGCCAAATAAGTATTTGCAAAGCTGGAAAGGACGGTCGGCATTTGCCTTCAACATCTCAGAGGCGCTCGGGATAGATTCATCATATGCATCTCCTATTATTGGTAATCCTCCAATAACATGTAAATCCCAAAGCGTGATCGCCAATTCACCAATTGATGTAAGTAAAGTGTTCACCGCAGGACACCATGCCTCACAAAATGCTTGTACAGCATTAATACATCGGTCATATGTGAACAATGAAGCATAAACAGCATCATAAATAAGCCCCTTCGTTAGGATGTTTTTACTCATGCCCAAAACGTCTTCCGCCCATTCCCAGTAACCGGTGATAAATCTAAATTCACCACCAAAAAATAGATGCTTTTTGAGAGGGATGTTTTCATCAAGGATACGTCTACCCAAAGAAGGAAGAATGTTAATAGAAGGTCTTTGAGGAAAGCCAGATATTAAAGTTCGCAGATTTTGATCCTGATACTCGCACTCGGGAGTCCAGTCAGCAACGCGGTATGACACAACAGTCGCAGGGCAAATACCACGAGCAAAGGGTTTGCAAATCTCTAGATGAATCTCATGGCCATTAGTATTGCCCGTTGATATGGAGAGAAGTTTCTGACCTTCATGCTTTATATCTTTGAGGAACACCATTTTGTACTGCAAAAAAAAAAAAAAGAGGAAGACGTTAGAAAGGGGCGGATAAAAAAGAAGAAGAGGAATCTATTGACCCCAAGTCAGGTCTTTAAGTTATTCTCAAGCATCTCAAAGCTTTGGAATTGATCCAAATTTAATAATAAAGGCCCACACCAATATTTCAAAATTAATAAATAAGCAAATACGGAGGAAGAGTTGGGATGCTCCCAAATAAGCATGGCAGAAGAAAATTAAGTCAATCTCCTTGATTTCTCCTAAACCAATAGAAACAACGGGCAGTAATTCCTCAGTCTCTCGTCACAGGCTTTCCATGACAATGACATTAAAAAAATGGTCTTAGTCTCCTTCGCAATACACATGCAGAAAAAAAATGGTCTTAGTCTCTCGTCATGGGACAAGTTTTTTTTCTCTGCTAAAAACAATCGAGGCAGCGAACAGCTCACAAAGATCTCAATTAGCCAACTCGTCAAATGTCAGATTCCTTCAATAATGGCAGCGGAGTTCATAAATTTACTACCGACGAAGTGGCCGGTCTTCACACCCACAAAATAGCGGGTCTTCAAACCGACGAAGTGGCCGGTCTTCTCACCGACAAAATAGTCGGCCTTTCACACCGACGAAGTGGCCGGTCTTCTCACCGACAAAATAGTCGGTCTTCAAACCGACGAAGTGGCCGGTCTTCACTCCGACAAAATAGCCGGTCTTCGAAACCGACGAAGTGGCCGGTCTTCTCACCGACAAAATAGCCGGCCTTCAAACCGACGAAGTGGCCGGTCTTCTCACCGACAAAATAGCCGGTCTTCAAACCGACGAAGTGGCCGGTCTTCTCACCAACAAAATAGCCGGTCTTCAAACCGACGAAGTGGCCGGTCTTCACACCGGCAAAGTAGCCGGCCTTCAAGATCCTCGTGCCAGTAAATGCCCCAATCGGACATCCTTTATAGCAAAATTTTAGCAGCAAGAAAGTTCCAGCCCCCCAGATGAAGCTAATCAATTCCACCGAGCTGGGTTGAAGAGTGATGACCCGTTCGGACTTCATAATTTTGATTTCGAGCTCAGCCTCTAAGTTGCTCTAACGGCACCAACCTCCGCTGGTCTTATACTAAGAATAATGCCTAGACTCAGCGATATCATCCTCAGGCAAACGAACAAAGAAAATCCAAAACAGAGTAAATTGGCACTTGGCAAACACGGCCGACTCTTCCCAGACGCAGGCAGAATAAAATTAGAAGAGCTCAATTCCTTTCTCTTTTTCTCGGCAAATGACAAAATCGCATAAAGTTGCTATCGGAATCGTCTGATTCGGCCATGATATCTCCCTAGCGAACCAGCCCCTTGCTGATGAAAATTAAACTAATGGAAGGGCTCATAGTATCTGAATGGCAGTCGGCCATAGTATTGTCCCTGTGTGCAGAAAACAAGAAGAGGAATGCATAAAGAAGAAGGAAGAATAAGGGAGAAAAGTTACCTGCTATTAACTTTGCTTCCAGAAATCTTTGACAGATATGAGTCTCAAAATTGATGGTGCAAACGATTGAAAAGAGAATAGGCTGAGTCGATATTTATACGCAGCAGTACGAAGAAGTTTGGATCTAAAAATAAAAAAACAATCGGCCAGAACAATAAAAGTCCTGATAGAAGAGAAAGTCTGAATGAAATACAATTTGGAATCTCTTAATTAATGATCCGTATAATTTGGAACCTCCAGCTATTGTTTGAGTGCATCTGAGAATTCCTACTTTAAGTTGTACGTCCGTATAATTTGGAATAGAGCTTCAATTGAGAATTCCTACTTTAAGTCAAAGTTGTGAGTACACCTGTCAACTGCATATGTAATTGAGTCCCTCACATTTTTTTCGGCCTAATAAATTCTAAATGAGAGTTCTACAAATCTTCCCTATTGATTTAAATCTCTAATGCAAAATTAGGCTGATCGGTCAGTAAAATCAATTTTCGAGACTCACTTGTTCGTGGAAATAAATCGGTACATCCAAGCAAGTCTCGAGGGGGCATTTGTGGATATTGAAAATTATTCAATATTTTAGACTTATTATTTATGATTATCCTTAATATTTTGGAGCTCATTTAAGTGCTATCGGACTATTATACGCCTGATTGGGTCTCTTTTGAAGGCTATTGGGCCGACGTCGGACTCTACTGGGCTGCTTGTGATGGTTATTGTGCCTGATAAAAAAGAAACTATTGATATGGGCCCATTCAAATATATTATAGTGATTAAGTTAATTTGGATCGCTCAAATATCCAATTAATTTAATTATAAATTAAGTCTTTGAAAGAATGGACCGGTCCTATTAATTTTGAGCCCATCATAAAATATTGGCTCAATACATAAGAGGCATGATCTGATTGACAAAGAGAGCAATGAATCTGGTTAAGAAATGTGTCCGTATGCATGGAAAATGGCCGTGAACCTTGTTTAAAAGGCTGTTCAGATACATCGAACAAGTGCTGATTTTTCTAGCTACTAAAATACAAGCAAATAGAGCCCAAAGCCCACTTTATTTGAGGCCCTAAGCATATGGACGAATTTCCCAAACCCTAAAGCATATTTTCACCTCCTCCACACCTATAAATAGGGGGTCTTAGTTGAGAGAAAAGGAGGAGAACTTCCAGACGAAGAAACGCTACAGCAAAGCTCTGAAGAACTCCCGAAAGGCTCTGAAGGATTCCGAAGAAGAGGAAGAGATCAAGCCACGTTTTTGTCAAGAATATATGAATAATCCTTTGTGATTTCATCGATTCTTGATCAAACAAAGCCAAAAGTTGAAGAACGTTCGAAGATCTGAAGAACGAAGCTTGAAGATTCGAAGATCTGAAGAACGAAGCTTTGAAGATTCGAAGATATGAAGAACGAATCTTGGAAGATTTGAAGATATTCATATGAAGATTGAATCAATATTCAATTGAAGATCAAGCCATATATCCCGGGAAGCCCCTTTAACAGAAGATCAAGCCACATAACGGCCCTTTTGTTGAAGATCAAGCTACTTGAAACCGGAGGCCCTTCAATATTGAATTTTGCATTCAAGAAGATTTGAAGATCTGAAGAACGAAGTTCGAAGGTTCGAAGATCTCAAGAACGAAGATTCGAGGAATCGAAGAACGTTCGAGTTTTGAAGAATTAGAGATTTAATTTTAAATTAAATTCTTTAATTATATTCATATCAAATTGCAAGTGAAGAATCAGAGGATTCATATTTAGAGATTGTACCCAATATTTTCATATTTTATTATTTGCGATCAATTTTAAGTAAATACTTAAAATTTGTTTCACACGGAGTATATTTTTACTACTACTATAATACGGAGTAGTATACTTCGTATTTAATTATACTTATATAAATATAATAATAATTGTAATGATTGATATGGTGTATTTGGTGGCTAAAGAGAAAAAATGCGCACTGCGTTCTTAAGCATACAAGTTTCCCACACCGGAATGGAAAGGAGTATTCCACTTCATAGGCGCTTATAAATTGCTCCCTTATCACGCTTCTTAGTAGCAAGCGCCTAGATTGCTTGACAATGCCATGTGCGAGTCAACGACGAAGGACGGAATATTTTTCTGCCTTTTTCCACGCCTAAGGGCAATGCGAGGCTTTTCATCCGCGCCTCACGCCTAGGCTCGCCTATACGGCGCCTTTTGGCGCCTTTTAGAACACTGCATATGAGATTCAAATCCATCTGATTAAAAGCACCCTTAACGAGCTCATTTGTTGGCACGACTAGCCTTCTTAGGGGTGGGCAAATATACCGAAATATCGGTATACCGCACTTACCGTACCGAAAAATACCTGAAAATACCGAAATATTGGTATACCGTCATTTTAGGTACGGTATCATATCGTACCGGTCTATTTCGGTACGGTAACGGTAAATGTTTTCAAATACCGCGGTATACCGGTATAATACCGTACCGACTCCCTACTCAACAATTACTTTTAATTCTAATATATTGTAGAAATCCATTACAATTTTGAAGCCCAAAATTAATACTTAAGTCGGTTACAAATACAAAAATACAAAAATACAAAAATAAAGGCCCAATTTCTCAAACCCACTATAATCTTATAGGCTTCTACTACGCTAACTTTAAATGACTAATGAGTAATGTACAAATGTCAAGAAACAAGTCCATCTTGTTCCAAGAGCTTGCAAGTCGTGATGGCTGGGCCGCTAAGTAGCTGACGAGTAAAGAGAGATACACTTATGTGACAAGTGTATCTACATAGGGATTCAGCGAGTCGAGACACGCAACTTTGTCCGAAAGTCTTATTCAATTTTTAAAAATTTAAAAAAATGACTAAATACACACACTACAAGAATCTTGACATAATGGGACAATTTTTTTCGTCATGTAAAATTCATTTTTTGTCACTAAAACACTTATGTGACGAATTATGATCGTCACAGTGATCGTCACCGTAGTTGCGTGGTATTAGGTATATGTGACAAATTTTGAATTCGTCACCAAATATATACCATTTAATGACATTTTAACATTTTGTCATCATTAGTAATCACTTTTCATGACGCCAATGTGTCACCTTTGTATCAATTTTTTTGTCATCTAAACATGTATTTTGTCATTAATAATCACACAATAAATGACAAAATCTTAAATTGTCACCATTATTTATCACTTTTCGTGACGCCAAATGTGTCACGGTTATATAGATTTTTTTGTCATCTAAATATGCATTTTGTCACCAACAATCCACACAATAAATGACAAAATCTTAAATTGTCAACACAACATAGCATAAGTGACAATCCTGGTAAACAAAATCGTCATAATTAAGTCACTTTAACATTGTCTTGTTTATAAAGCTTCGTCACTAATTAGAATTACTTTCGTTACAAGTTATTCATATACAGACATATATATGTACAAAAGTTACAATGTATGAGAAACAAAAAGTGCTTCTTTGATGAAAAGAATTAACATTTAGTAATCCAAATGGTCACAAAGATAACCAAATCTACAATAAACTAATTTGAACCGTCCAATACTCTAACTAAATGAGCTCCATCTGTAATTAAATTTGTTGATAGTCTTCAACACAAGTATCCTTTCTGATGTATCAAAAAAAGTCTTCAACAAAAGTATATCTTGTTTCCTTGTTGTGTTTGATTAATATACTCCTCTTGTTTTCTTCTCTTGGTCCCTTGGCTTCCTGCAAAAGAAAAAAGTAAATATATATCATAAGAACAATTGGCAAGTGAAAAATCAGCTACAAAAGTCTAGCGATTCAAACTAGTGTATCCAGAGTAAAAACGGATTTCAAAGAAGCTAGTCATCTTAATCTTGATGTGATATAAATTGAGGTGCTCCGAGTACAAGTATTCATTATCTATGTTATTACTTGCTGTCGATAGAAATGAATCCATCCAGTAGCTAATTCTTCAAAACCTTGGTTGCTAAGTCACTTGTTCTTTTGCAATTTCTCTATGTACTAGAATCTGAAAAAACGATAAATTATGGAATTATAAGAAAAATCATATTCTATATCCTCATATAACTAAACAATGATGAGGTTGTAATCCGCAATTTAAGAAAGTTGAGTTTTAATTAACTTAACTCTTAAGGATTCAAGTGTTAACGCATATTTTTGTGTAGCAGATTAATTACAAAACGAGTTGTGTTTGTAGAAGGCTAATGGAGTAGAAGAGTCTAAGCAGATGGAAAATGATTCTTTTATGTATCTGAGAATATAACTGGTGCAAGTGCAAAATTAGAAAAAGCCCCAACTGCAACCTTCTGTTGTGAAGCTAACTAATCAAAAGAAATACTTCGAGCAAAGGAATACCTTTTATCATGATTAACATCAAAGTCAATAATTGCAGGATAAACTTGAAGTCTCCAAATTTACAAAAGAGATAATTATATATATGATTAGAGTCGATAATCAAAAGTTCATTCTTTAATTTATTAGATTTTAACAACGTGGATTCATGGAAGATCTTACCCAAGAAATTTCTCACCAAGCTTTTGAATACTCCTCTATGCCAAAATGAAGCCAGTCGTAATCTATAACATCATTGTTTAAAAGTTTTAACTTATCAACTAACAAGTGAGGTAATATATAAACTATTTAGCTTAATCTCTCATAACGTATCTTTATTTATTTGTTTTCTTAATCTGTTTTTTCTGTTTTACATTCTTCTTTTCTATTTTCTGTTTTCCACTCCTCTTCTGTATTACTGCATATGAAGTAGTTTGGTACTCGAGTTGATACACTAAAGGGAATACTATTGTTAGTACTTAGTAGAATCTAATAATCTGTTTGATAATCCAAATATATATTAACTAGTGTGCCCTAAGAATAACAAGGTTGACAAATATGTGGGGATAAGATTCACATACAGAAAATAACAGCACATGTACCCGCAACTAACCTGCCTCACCACTTTGACTAAAAGTGAAGTTACAAAAAAGGCAGAAAATTAAGTCAACTAAAATACACTCACTGAGACATACAAACACTTGGAGAAGTTATCAAATCCAGTGTAATTCTGAAACAATAACCAGTCTTATACCAAGCCCTACAAAGCAAAGTAGTTTGATAATGAGTTAGATATTAATTAGTTTGCTCCTCGCTAATAACATGCAAAACGTTTAGGCTTCTGAAAACATGATATAAAAGTATTTAAAGAAACATGAGAGAGCCACTTACC